ATTTATGAAACAGTGTAACAGTTACGGCATGTCATCAATTATACTATATAGAACCCTTAACAATCCATTGAAATTTAACCAAAATTCGGGAAAGTGTTGCAAATTCTTAAACCAATCGTCACTCTTTAGGAACCTTCAAAATCATTCTCGAAGAAAATGGACTAAATGTTCGTTATTCATTTGGATGATTAACATTATTACTAAATTTAGCATACTCTGGAGATGCGCCTAAAATCTAAAGGGCACATATGACTAGATAAATACTCTTGTGTTTATATATATATATAAATTAACCTTGGAAGTAAACCTTCTCTTTTCCTTCTTGTATTCAACATTTAACGGTTTTTAAAAACTAGGAAGTTGTTAGAAAGTCTATGTCTAAATATCTAAGCGCAAGACGTATTAGATAATTGGCTAGATTCTAATATAATGATTGTTCTTTATTAGGGTATTGAGAATTCAGATCAACTCCGTCTTCTCGTTGTGTTATTATGAATGTGTTGATTTCTGAAATTCATTCTTCTACTGTCATGTTCAAATACAAGTCACTTGTAAATGGAATAATTGTGAATATATATGTTTTCTGAATACAGTTCGATTTCTTTTCTCTATATTTCATATATATAAATTATAACATAATAATAATATTGTATATAACAATAATATATATCCCAATGAGTAGAAAACTGTATTTCTGACATTTCGTGACTTAATGTAGATCACTTCTTCAGTGTAGACGAATGACAAAATTAAATTAACACACGTTTAAATAGTACACTAGGAAACAATGTAGTAAATTTTTTTAGTATAATCAAAATCATAATAGGTTCGAATATGTCAATATCAAGTTATTTTCTGATCAAGGTGAATTTGTATGACATATCACTGTATTAATTTGTGCGTCAGAAGGTGGATATTAAAATGTATACATTTGTAATATAGAGTTGTGGGGTTGAAGTTGGGTGCATGTGTGTGGGTAAATTGTGTGGACATTAAATACATAGACTAGGAATAACTTGACATCAACATATTCAAATCTATTATGATTTTGATTGTACTAAAAAATATTCTACATTTTTGCGTTTTTACTATTTAAACTTAATTCGGCTGTTTATTTACTCTGAAGAAGTGGCTTACACTAAGTCACGAAATGCCAGAAATACAATTTTCTACTCAATTGGAATATAACAGAAAGGTGTGTTTATTATTAAACCTCTACCCAATTTATTTGAAACTAACAAGTTCATATAAACAGTTATGAGAGTGCACAACACTGATGTATTATCTTGTGAAGGACATGGAGAGTCCACCGAGGGGAGTTGAAAAACCCTGATTCCAAGCCAATGGTACACATGGGCTCCAGTATCATGAAAGAAAAAATGACGTATGAACCAATCGTTGGTTACCGGCTACCATGGAACTGCATCTCCTTACGATGCTTCACTGTTTTGTTGATCAGACATTCAGGTTGAAGGTTCCGGGTGTGGCCTCCTTAAGAAAACCACCTGCTTCGGTTTGGGCACCCGGTCAGTATCACAGCCCTCACACATATCAAATGAGATATGTGTGGTGCATATCTATTTAGTGCCTCCTTGTATCAATATCTACGTGTTAAAATAAATTATGAAGGACATATTTATTAAGATTATAGTTGACTAGATAATTATTAGTTGATATGAGCGTTAATACATATATTTATGTGAATGCATTGAAAGATAATACTTAAAATAAATCAAGTATACTATCAAGGTAAACAAAAATGATTGATAACAGTGATAAGTATAGTACTACTTATTGTGTGATGAGTAGTATTGTTAATCACCAATTAATCCCGCTCGCGGGATCGTGGATGCGCACTGCTGAGGAGTCCCACAATAGGACGAAGCGGCCGTCCAGTGCTTCTAGGTTTTCAATTGTGATGATCTAACATCAATTGGTTCAAGATCTCAATCAAAATACTATATGATTGATCTGTCTTTTGGTTATTTTAAAAACCTAAGTTCTTCAAAATTATTTAAAAAATTGAGAACATAATCACCATCATCATCATCATCATAAACCTAGAAACCAATATATAACATGAAATAAGAATACACATTTACTCACTCATGCATACCCTTACACACACACATACATACATACAACTGAATATGAATTAGACATAGATTGAATGATAAACGAATAATATAGGCTAATCAATATGTATTATTAACCAATCAACAACCAGGTATGATTTTCAGGTTAAGCAACCTAATGATACATTCTATTTGAGCAACGTAAATCGATAATTTTTTTTTAAAGATTTAAATTACTAGATAATGGGAAAATATCCTTTTCTGAGAGATATTTGATTTTTTTTATTGATTATTGTAGTTAATGTTTGTAGTATTTTCTCGATAGTCTCATTTTCATTAAGCCAACGATTTATTTATGTATGTAAGACATAAATCAGTGGAATCGTGTCAAATTTTTTTGTGTGATAAATATTCAGTTTTGTGACAGTTCAAATTCTTAGATAAAATTGTTACACAGATCTGTGTTCTGATTGAAAAAAAAACACGCTTAAATGTCACTCATAGACTACATAGACAACAGGGGAATAGTAAACCAAGAGAGAAACTTGTTATTCATGTTAACTATTACTGCATTGATTATGTTGTCGTGCATTACAATGAGACATATATTTACAAAATCGGTAACTCGAAAACATTTGTACATACTGAGTGAGCCCCCAAATGCCCTGGTATGGCCGAGAGTGGGGAGAGTTCGCTCTCCCTCTCCAAATGCTCTCACATGGCCACACATATATAGCTTCTGCCAGGGAAGTCCTGCTCACTGCCTTCTCGTGGCGAGGGTGTTGTTAAAGAAAATGAGAGGATGAAAAACGAATGTCCGGCGCTTTAACCGGACTCCAAACCAATGGTACACATGGGCTCCAGTATCCTGCGGGAACAAATGGCGTATGAACCAATCGTTGGTCACCGGCTACCATGGGACTGCATCTGCTCACGATGTTCCACTGCCTTGTGGGTCAGATCTTTAGGTCCAAGGCTCGAAGTGTGGCCCCTACGAAAAACACCTGCTTCGGTCTGAGCACCCGGTCAGTATCCCAGCTGTCACACAAGTCGAATGATTTATGTGGCGGATATATATTTGGTGCCTCCTTGTACCAATGTTTATGTGTTTAAATAAATAAATAGATAAGTGAACTATGCATAAGTTTACAACCATAAATTAGACAAACTGGTAACTGTTAAGGACGCTGAACACCTTTGATGGGTCCTAAGAAAGATCAACTAAATAATGTTTCTTTAGTGACTATTCAATATGATTTCAAAAATTTGAACAGAAACAGTGATGTACTCACTAAATCACGATACTTAAAAATTGTCCCGAAAAATTTGTCCTCTCATCAAAATTGATTATTTTTATCAATTATTCACTGGATCCACCATTAAAACATCAAGCTTACAGTCGAATACCTCCAAGATCAGTATTATATCTTGAAATAGCAGATATTTTCCGTCATGCTTTGTATAGATTATAAAGTAGAAAAGAGGTTTACTTAATATCAATCTTCATTCCAAAACGTTATAATGAATATGTTTATTTAACTTTGTCTTTAAACTGAAGTGTAAAGTATAATATTCTATTGCAGAAATACACCAATATACAAACAATTGGATGAACAAAACAGAATATACCTACTTATTGAGACACAAAATAGGAAAGATTGGTTCAGTTAAAAGTTAGTTCGCTTTCCGGTGACTTCATTTTTACAGCCGTACAATTTTATGTATATATACATACTTCTTTTTAAATGGTTATCTATAATGTATCTGTCAATACAAATACTAACAATTTGTTAAATTTGATAACAGAGTACTATATTTATTAAAAACACACAATTATTATTCTTGTTAAGAAAATGAAAACAGTTAAATTCATTTTGTATTGTTTGTTTGTTTAGGACTGAAACTGATTAGTCTCTTATTGGTATATATGTATCCTGTGTAGATTGTCTAGATATTGCCTTAAGTTACAAGCTTTATAAGCAAGGATGAATGATGGCTAGCGGTAGAATCCAAAACGCGTGTTTCGTCCTATTTTTGACTCGTCAACTGGATATACCTGCAACTCAGAGTTGATGTTCACTCAAGGGCTCGAAACTAGTGCCGTTTGCATCAAACAACATCACGCTATCCACTTAGCTACTGAGTCTTGATAGCCACTAGTTTGTACAAGGGGGTGAAATAGAAATTCATTTTGTATTGTTTGTTTGAACATCAGCTCTGAGATGCAGGTATATCCATCTGATGAGTCCTAAAGTGGAAGAGACGAGCGTCTTAAATTCCATTGCAAGTCATCATCCATCTCTGCTTATCAAAACATAATTGTTTAAGACTTGAATATTGATCATGATAAATGAAGATTCATAACTTTGAAGAAGATTTGAGTATTATACTAAGATAAAACACCAAAGTTGAAACAGAACATAAGCAGAAATGACCTGGAATCATAAATAAGTCGTTTATCTATGTGAGTGGAGAAGGGGGATCGTTGTGAAATAAAGAATATCTAAGTATAGTTAAAAATGAAATCTCGAAGCCTATTAACAAATAATAATTATTATTATTTAAAATAATTTAACATGAAGTGGTACATCTTTATTCTCTTCACAGCAAAAGTTCTATGCACTAAATTAATACCATTTAAATTAAGCATTTCATATTTTTTTCAGTTATAATTACTCTTCAAAACATAATACAATGATCCAATCTACATATTGAATGATATATTTATCAGTAATATATACTGTATAATATATTAATTATTAAGGAAGTGCTGATCACATATCTATCTGGATTTATATAGATACAGAATGAGAGAGAGAATCTGTATAGTTGCTACCTCTATGTCTATCCATCCATCCACCCAACCAATTATTATACAATCTACTTGATTTAGATTCATTACATTTATAATTATCTTCAATTTTAATGAATTTTAATCGACGTACAAATTCGAGTACATGGACAATATTGTACAGCAAGCGAAACAATACTACTACTACTGCTACTACTTCTACTACTACTACTACTACTTCTACTACTACTACTACTACTACTACTACTAATAATAATAATAATAATAATAATAATAATAATAATAATAATAATAATAATAATAATTACTATTAGCTCATTATTGTCATAATCTTTGTCATCATTTTTGTACATACTACTATTTATCAACTTCCTATTCATTTTTAAAAAGGGATATTATTTTAGTCGGATGATTTATGTTAAACAATATACATGAACAATAAACAAACTAAAGTAATATGAATTCTTTTTTTTCTTTTTCGTTGTTGCTGTTGTTGTTGTTGTTGCTGAAAAACTTGAATTTATGAATTTACTATTCAATTACTTTCTATTTAGAAATAATAATAGTTATAATTATTTTAAATTAATGTACATATTTGATATCACATGGGTGAATATTGGAAAAACAAACAGTAATGAATGTGGACATAATGTAAAAATGTTACATTGGTTAAACATTTCCATATTACATAATATAAAAAGTCTAGAAGTAAAAAAAAATTTCGAAAAAACACATAGAGACAAGTTTTTTTTAGGAGAATATTCAGTGAGACTATAATTTATGGACGAAACAATAGGCCTTGGATTATGACGTGAAATTCTATATCCATTTCGATAAATAACGTTTTAAAATTTTAGCTGGTGTTAGTTCGTGATAAAAACCTTAGATCCAATACCTATTCCTAACCTTCAGCTGTAATTCACAATCCTTATCTTTCATACAGGTTTAAAACCCTCATTCAGCCTTAATCAGTAGGTGAACTTACTGAAGGTCACTTAAGCAAAAGTCGTCCATAATTTATAGTGTCACCAAATTTTCTTCTGGACTTTTTAACTATTGGAGAAGTTTGGTGAGACTGTAAATTGTGGATGATCTTTGGGCAATGCTTAAGTGACCTTGAGAATATCCACCTACTTACTAGGGTTAATTGAGGTTTATAGATCAATATGAGGAATTAGAATTATAATTTGCAGTTGATGGTTAGGGTGAGGATTAGATTTAGGGTATTCATCACTATTTAGACATGTGGATGAGTGAATTTCGCACTGAAATTTAAGACCTAAATTTGATTGGTTCGTCCATAAATTATAGTCTTATCTAAAGCTTTTACCCACTTAAAATTTTGGTTGGATTATTATGAGTTTATTTCGAAAATTTTTTAATTCAATGGATGACGGACGTGCCGCTCAATTTTGCGAATTAGTTGAGGTTAGACATTAACACCATTGGATGCCGACTCAGTAGTCTAGATGTTAAGCGTTTGCGCACGAAACCGACAGGTCCTGGGTTCGAATCTTGCGAGGCAGGATCATGGATGTGCACCACTGAAGAGCCCTACAATAGGATAAACGGGCCGTACAATGCCTTCAGGTTTTCCATGGTGATCTAGTTTCAATTGACTCATGATCGCAACCATTAAGATTCACTATTTCGCGAAAAAATGATTACACTGCGTTTGTAATAATGTTTCAATTTGTGGTTTTAAGCTGTTTGCATCTAGTAAAAACTTTAAAAATAGAGTCAATACATCTTACTATCTATGCTTTATTCAACTTTATCAAAGGAACAGGTAGTATGAAACGAAATGAAGTTGTTCTAAGTTAAGATGAAGTTTGATATCCATGTAATTTTAATTCATGAAGATTCAAATATCAAGATAATAATAGTTAACAATCGGATACTAACGATGTCGATTTGAATAAGTGAAATAGAATTTAAATCTTAAAATAAACTCGAAACAACGGACTCTGACAGTTATCTTCAAATGACTGGGCAAACTAAATTAAATAATTATAAAGTCAAGAAAAGGATTTATCATTATTAGGCAAAGTCCAAGTGAAAATAACTCGAAACTATCAGTGCCCATAATTTCCAAGAAAATGCTCTCTATGGACATTGATTTCAACAGAGACAAAATTTCATACTATTTGAAGGCAAAAAATTTTAAGTTGCATAAACAGATTACTCTTCATTGTCGTTGTTAATACTAGTGACCTGCGGTTGAATAATGTTCATCAATTACTTAAAGGACAAACTTTCACATATGATCACTTTCACATGAATTTATCAATTCACCTATTCCTGTCAAATTATATATAAAAGTTATTAGATGTATACTTTATTTAAAAGGGTTCGAGAACATTATCTGGTGTAGTTGAAAAAAGGTGGAGATGACTTTATGAGGAACTTTCTAGTTGTATACCAAACGTACTCCACGTTAAAAGATAAACAAAAGTCTACTAAATAACAGTGAGTTTCGTCTTATTAGCATTGTTAAAGCCTTTGCTTTAAAATAAAAAAATTACGTATAAAATATATAATTTATCTATTTATCCCCATTATGCTTGTTGGTATTAAATTATTCCTCGTTTAAACGACTATCCCTTACTTAAGGGTAGTTTGTTTAACAATGATGGTAACAAAAAATGTAACCATCAACGAAGTGATTTAATATTTCGTTTAATTTTAAATAAATCCAGCGCGCAAAAGGGAGTAAGCATGCTCGCATACGATCGAAGGTAATAGGTTCGACTTCCCTATGCGTGATCGTAAGCGTGTATTGCTGAGGAGCCTCATACTATGCCAAAATGGTAATCAGATGTTTCCAGCTTTTCGATGGCGGTATGGCTAAGATCAGTTTGCGATTAAAACTGAAAATTATTAAAATTAGTCGAATCTTACTCTTTACAATATGGATTTTACTTATAGTTACTTAATATACCCAGATAAGTGCATAAAAAGGAAATAAGAAATTCCTTGATTTTCTCATTTCTTATAATGGTATCTTCTGTTAAGCTATGATAATGAAGACAGTATGAGACAAACATCAACGATGATATTTCTCAATAATCTTCCCCAATCATAAATTAACTGATTAGAAATCCAAAGCACTGAAATTATCTACTGTGATTGTTAGATAAGTGATAACACTACTAACATTCATTTCAGTAGATACATTTTGTCATTTTATTCTCTAATCATATTCTAGATCAATATTAAACTATCTTGATGGTTCAGCAATAGTCGAGTAGATATTCACTTCATAAGGTTTAAAGGGAAATTAGAGATTAGTTAACACTATTTTGTTGTTGTTATCAGTAATTATGAATCCGGTGCAATTCTACTACTGATTAGTTTCTTAACTAACAAACTGTAAAGTAAAAACGAAGGTAGAAAGTTTTCCTCTCAACTTCAATAGCATTAGCTTCTACTTCTAGGTAGTTACTCACATAAGGCGATGGATGATAGGCTAGCAGTGTCTTGAAATATCCGAAGCGACATATCTAGATCCATGGATACCAAGTCAGTGGTCTGAAGGCTAATAATTTTCTAAGTCTGGTAGTCTTGTGCTCGGATCTTGGTGTGGCCTGAAGTTTCCGATTTTGAAGAGTTTCATATTATGAAGAAATATATGCTTTTTAGACAAGTCTACTCCCATACCAATGATCTATGATCATAGATTCAGTATGTTACTATCACATATTTTAAAAATGATTCAACCTCGTAGTGATTAATCATTCCATATTTTAAGGTAAATAATGTGATTCAGTACGTTGGTATATGATTTATAAATAAACTGATAAATTCTACGTACTGTACTACTTTCCGTTCTTGTTCTTAAATTTCACTGAACAAAATTCAAAACTATTCCTGGTCAATAGCTTTTCAATGTCTTATTGTCAGTTCCAGTTTATTGCGAAGGTAACAAAAAGGTTTTAAAAACTGATTTCTCCTTTTTTTAAAAGAAACTGCTATTATTCCCATAGCAAGAATAAACTGTCTGGTCCTTAATTATGGAAGCATATTTGTAGATATATCTAAATGACATTCTAATAATCTTTCTCGAACTCTAAGATATATATATATATATATATATACAAAACAATTGCTTGATCAATGCCGGATCTAATTGTTTAATATGACATTGTTTATTTATTCAAAAGGGGATTAGAGAAAAAAAATGGAGAGAGGATTTTTCTATTTCCTTTTTTTTAATCTATTTACCTTAATAAAATACAAGACAAACCCAGATAATACTACTTAACTATTGATTTTCTCTGTGAGACGAATTATGTTTATTGTGGGTGAATTTTTCCAATAATATCATAGAAAGTATTTATTTATAGATTATAAGGAAATTTAACAGTTACGCTTTTATCACGGCTTAACATAAATGTATAGTAGTATATGAAGGTTTGTGTAGATTGTAGAATTTTCCTTCTTTAAGTCACAAACTGATTTTAGTTAGATAACTGTTATAAACTAGGAAGCACTGAACAGCTCTTTCATCTTAGTATAGGACTACTCAATAGTACCCATCCATGACTTTACTACAGAAGGTCAAACTCAGAAGCTTCAGTCTGACACGTGTGTGCTTAACCTTTAGACCATTGGGTTGTAAATTAACAAATAATTGATACAGGTTTAAGCGGTCCTGCATTAAAAAGAATTTATAACTAGTCATGAAAATATTTGTGAATACAGTAGTTAATGTGTGAACTGGAATCTGTAGTTACAGCTTGCATGATATAATGACAATTCGGTGAAGGAGTTGTAGAATTGTAACTTCAATGTAACTTGCTCTGTGATCGAATTCGTGAAAGTCATTCTGTCTAGTTACTTGAGGGATGATTAAGGTTAAAACAAAAGCTCTATACTGGTTTATCTAATTGATATTTGATATCAAGTGAACATAAAGATGCATGTCAAATCACAAATAAAACCCACTGAAATGTTCAACTGATTTAGTCCTGTCTTTCAGACATGACTGAATTCATCGGTATCCATCTTAGCAAACATGACGTCTACATTCGTAAAAGATTAACACAATCTTTCTCCTTACTTTGCCATTATAAAAGCTAAAATCAAAGTGAACTGCTAATTTCTTATTACACTATATCACTTCTATCAATGGCTTTCTGTCAGAATTTTTATTCCCTTCCCCTTCTTGTGCTCCTGTAACATTTTATTTATGTTTGAGCGATTTTCATCGGTATTTGACTTCTACTCAAGATTTTATCGATCCTCTTATATTATGTAACTAATATTATGTGACTAATAAATAAAGATCAATGCTGCGTACTGTATTACCTTT